GTTCAGGCCCCAAGACTGACAAAAAAAAAAAAAAAGTCACACAGACTTTCTTTGCCCAGACTGCCAGGCTGGCTTTGGACCCAAACCGTGATCCTCAAATCTCAGCCTCCTGAGCAGCGAGGATTATAGGTGTGAGACACCGGCACCGGGCTTTACTTTCATTTTTAAAGCATAAGCACCACACTGTAACAGAGGGTTAATTTCATGATCGTGTGTCTGTGTTGCTTTAGGCCTGTGAGGCTGCGGTCTATCATGGCAATGACAACCCATTATCTCTCGGTGGCTTGGAAACAGGAAGACAGGAAGGAGCCAGGGTCCCAATATTCCTTTCAGGAGACTCCCCACTGTCATTTTTCATGGGTTCCAGGGGCTGTGCGTGAGCAGCACCTTGCTGCATGACATGAGCAATCCTTATCAATGTCAGAGCCACAGTGTTCAGGCTTCAGGTTTCCATACTCTCTACTTATCATCCCTCCCGCCCCCCAAAGTCCTCAGACCCTTATCATCTGATAAGGGAGGAGGGCTATAATATGTCCTTTTTAGAAACTAAAAAGGGGTCTATGGAGAACAACAAGGCTGAGAATACCATGATGGCATGGGAGGTGGTGGCTGCTACTCTAGATGCTGAAGGGCAGAGTGTACCATCATTACAGATGAGCTTTTGAAGTCCAGCAGCTGGGTTTGCTGCGGGTGGTGGTGGTTGCTGCCCATTGAAAAAGAGGTTCCCCTTGACTGCAATTCTCCTGTGGTAACTGATCTCTCTCTCTCTCTCTCTCTCTTTTTTTTGTCAGTTGTGGAGCCTGAACTTGAGCTCTTAAGCTCATGGCTAGAGCTCTACCACTTGAGCCACAGCATCACTTCCAGTTTTTTCTGCTTATGTGGTACTGAGGAATCAAACCCAGGGCCTCATGCATGCAAGGCAAGCACTCTACCACTGAGCCACCTTCCCAGCCCTAGTGGTGAGTGATCTCTTATCCCCACTCCTTTAGAAGTACTGTATGTCCTAAAGGTTGGGTTTTTACATCAACAGAGAAATACAACCTACCATCCCACAGCTCCCACAGCAAATGGTAGAACTGGGCGGTATACAACTGAAGCCCACTGCTGTCCATTCCATGTGAATGTGAAGGGCCACTACGGGAAGCAGCAGCAAGATCCCAAACAGCAGAAGACCCTGTTGAGGTGACCTGTCCCCTGGAGCCTATATATAGAACTTTTAGCCACAGATTTTTTTTGGGGTCCGGTCATGGGGCCTGAACTCTGGGCCTGGGTGCTGCCCCTCAGCTCTTCAGCTCAAGGCTAGCGCTCTACCACTTGAGCCACAGTGCCACTTCTGGCTTTTTTTTCCTGCTTATATGGTGCTGAGGAATCGAACCCAGGGCCTCATGCATGCAGAGCAAGTGCTGTACCACTGAGCCATCTTCCCAGCCCCAGCCACAGATTTCTTACAGGGGAGGTTCAAGCCTAGGGATTTAAGCCTGTGCTAGCTAGGAAGTTGTACCACCATTTGAACCACAGATTTCTGTCCTGACTCAATAGCAAAGGTGGTTTCCCTCCCAACAGGCAGACATAGATACAGATACAGCAGGCTTGGCTGCATCCACATGAGTTGAGTAACTATTGCTCCAGCAGGGCACATCTGCAGGGATTCATGGGGTCTGCAGCCAAGCAGGTCAATTCACAACACTTTTCCCCTAGCAGCCTGCATAGGGCTGGTGGTACCATGAACCCTGCCCAATACTACATTCTACTTTAACCCATACTGCAACCAGAACAGTAGGAAATGTACAGCTCTTGCAAACCTGAGTGGTGTAGAAACCCTTGAGGCCATGGGACTTTTAACTTCTGCAAGCACCTTTTTGTGTGTGTGTGTGCCAGTCCTGGGGCTTGAACTCAGGGCCTGGGCACTGTCAATGAGCTACTTTTGCTCAAGGCTAGCACTCTACCTCTTGAGCCACAGCACCACTTCCAGCTTTTTCTGTGTATGTGGTACTGAGGAATAGAACCAAGGCTTCAAGCATGCTAGGCAAGCACTCTCCCACGAAGCTAGCCCTTTTAAAAACGCTTTTTAAAGTTATTTTCTTTATTGGAAAAATGAAATATATCCATTATGGGAAAAAAAATTAAAAAATAGAAAACAAAAAAAATAATATTTTTCATTTTCTCCACTCAAAGGCAACTGGTCAGTCTCTAGAAGCACCTTTTTGTTGTTGTTGTTTTTCTGTCTAGACAGGATTCATTCACATAAAATTAGCTGTTGTTTTGAGTAGTGTGGCTTTACTTAGCCAATGTTTTGATAATGGCTGTAATATTCCTAAATATTTTTGTCCTTCTAGTAGTCTGTATTGATTGGTGTTAATTATTCTATGTAGGGTAGGCATTTTTATTGGTTTTTATTTGCCCAGTCAGGAGTGAGGACAACTTTACCATTTGTACCATTAGATGGGATGCTGTAATTATGGTGCACAGGGTGTTTTCTTACAGAGAGAGATGACAGTACACTCTTCCGGTGGTAGATGGTCTTGTCCTGTCTCCATGCCCTTTATGTTTTGGGGGATTATCATGAATTCTAGTACATTCTATCTAGTGTCCTCTGTACACTAGTGCAGGATCCATATGAGGATCTCCCAAGGAGGCTCCCCAAATCATATGCATGCTCGTATACATAATGTATTTTACACTGTTGTTTGAATTTAGAGCTCTGATACAATGCTATAAAAATGTTGATATAGCCAGGCACCAGTGGCTCACGCCTGTAATCCTAGCTACTCAAGAGGCTGAGATCTGAGGATTATGGTTCAAAGTCAGCCCAGGCAGGAAAGTCTGTGAAACTCATATCTCCAATTAACCACCAGAAAACCAGAAGTGGCGCTGTGGCTCAAGTGGTAGAACACTCATCTTGAGCTGAAAGCTCAGAGACAGTGCCCAGGCCTAGAGTTCAAGCCCCATGACTGACTCCCCACCCCCACAAAAATATGTTGACATACAGAATTTTAGGCCTTTTTAAAAACAGGTAATTTTGGGCTGGGAATGTGGCTTAGTGGTAGAGTGTTTGCCTAGCATGCATAAAGCCCTGGGTTTGATTCCTCAGTACCACATAAACAGAAAAAGCTAGAAGTGGAGCTGTGGCTCAAGTGTTAGAGAGCTAGCCTTGAGCAAAAGAAGCAGTTCGGGGACAATGCCCCAGCCCTGAGTTCAAGCCCAGAACTGGCAAAAAAAAAAAAAAAAAAATATATATATATAAATTGTTATTAAGGTGTTATACAGAGGGGTTACCATTTCATAAGTCAGATAATGAGTATATTCTTTTTTTGTTCAATGTCATCCTTTCCTTCATTTCCCTCAGTCTCTTCCTTCTATCCCTATCCACAAATTGTATAGTTCACTTTCTACATAGCATATACTGAATATCATAATTGCATTTGTTCACCCTTCCTTCCCTCTTCTGCAATTCCCCTTTGCCCTCCCCACACCCAAAATAACCCAAAAGCAAAAAGGAACACCATCACCAATGGCAACAAGAAAAAAAAAATCCTATGTCTTTTACTAAGCAGGTCTAATTGAGCAATGTTACTGGATTTCAGGCTCCAATTTATAGGCCAAATCCCCCCCCCCCCGCCCCCCGCAGCCCTGGAGCTTGAACTCTGGGCTTGGGCTCTGCCCCTGAGTTTCTTTTGCTCAAGGCTAGCTCTCAACCACTTGAGTCACAGCGTCACTTCTAGCATTTTCTGAGTAGTTTATTGGAGATGAGAGTCTCATGGACTCCCCTCCCCTGCCTGGGCTGGCTTTGAATGGCAATCCTCAGATCTCAGCCTCCTGAGTAGCTAGGATGACAGGCGTGAGCCACCAGCGCCTCACTCCAATCCTCTTTTGCTTTTGTTATTTTTTTAAACATTTCTTTTTTTGTTTTGTTTTTGGGTCCGGTCGTGGGGCTTGAACTCTGGGCCTGGGCGCTGTCCCTCAGCTCTTCAGCTCAAGGTAAGCGCTCTACCACTTGAGCCACAGCGCCACTTCCGGCTTTTTTCTTTTTGCTTATGTGGTGCTGAGGAATCGAACCCAGGGCCTCAGGCATGCAAGGCAAGCGCTCTACCCCTGAGCCACCTTCCCAGCCCTGTTATTTTTTTTTTAAACAGATTTTCACTTACCCCCTGTGTTGGGGTCCTCCTATTTGGGCTCGGCATGGGTGAGATGGCAGGTGCGTGCTATTATACTCAGTTATTGGCTGTGATAGAGTCTCAGAATTCTTACGCCCTTCTTGCCCAGGCTCTCCCTCTCAAGTCGCAAGTCGCCATGAGCCACTTCACCTTGCTTGCATCTGTCTGCTAACATACTGAGCCACATGCAACTTCTTCCCCCGCCCCCCGCCCCGGGGAAAAAACCCTGTCACTTACTATTACAGCAAAACTTACCTAGTAACCTCCCCCGCTGGCTGGCAGCGTTGGAGATGCTTCCCGGGTCTCCCTGTGCCAGGTGTGCATGCCCAGCGCGTTCCCCACTATGGCCATGCCAACGCGGTTCCAGTTTCACAGTGTCTCAATTTAAGACCCAGTCTGGCTGATACCCGCAGTGACAGGCTGTTATTTCCATGTTCCACCTACCGACTCCGAAGACGAGCTGCTGGTCTTCCACTCCCAGGAAGACCAGTTCTGTCTTCTGTGTGTGTTCCTGGGGCTTGAACTCGTGGCCTGGGCGCCGTCCCACTCTACCACTTTGAGCCACGGCGCCACTTCTGGTTTTCTGGTGCTTCATTGGAGACCAGAGTCTCACGGGCTTTCCTGCCCGAGCTGGCTTTGAACCCCGATCCTCAGCTCTCAGCCTCCAGCGTAGCTGGGATGACCCGCAGGCGCCCGTCTGAATCGCTTTCAGCCCCGGAGGCGGCCTAGGGCTGCGGGCCCGCTGGGTTTGGGCAGCCCCGGGAGGTGATTGGCTGCTGCGGACCCACCCCCCCTCGCTGATTGGACGGGACCATCCGGAAAGGATGGCCGTGCGGCTGCCTCCCCCGACGCACACCGCTCCCGGAGAGGCTGCGAGGCCGAGATGGCGTCTGCTGCTCGGTTGCTGGGGAGGCGGGTGCTGAGCTGGAGGCTGCTGCCCCCCGGCGTGCCCCTCGCGGGCCGCGCGCCCCGGCGAGCCCACTCCCTGCTGCCCGTGGACGACGCGATCAACGGGCTGAACGAGCAGCAGAAGCAGGTATGGAGCTGCACCCCCTCCCGCGGCGAGGCCTCCCCGCGCGGCGCGGGCCGCCCCCGGGCTGTGCCCAGGCCTGGGCCTGGGCCTGGGCCTGCCCTGATCCCGGCCTCACGCGGGTAGAGGTGCTTTGGTAGAGGAATTGGTCAGGGGTGCGGCTGGTGGCCTCCGTGAGAGGGGTGGGTGGGAAGGGAGAGGGGGAAGAGGGGAGGGGGGCAGAAGGGAGGGGAGGAGGGGTGTCAAACGCACATGAACTTAAACCTGAACCCTGTGTAACACTGTAACTCCCAAACCTCTTGGATGATCATAATCACCAGGCCGTGGTTTTGGCATTAACAGGGAACTTTGAGCCTGCAACTTGCTGTCATTCTTCATCCTTCCGCTTCTGAGGTCCAAAGCACAAAAGTTGAACGAGCAACTGGAAGGCTATGATTACACATGATCTATTTTAATGTTATTATTTATTTATCTTTGTGCCAGTACTACAGTTTGAACACAGGACCTCATGCTCTTGACTTTTCCTATCACGCCTGGAGCTCTCCCACTATACCTACACCCCTGCTTTAGTTTTTTTTTTTTTTTTTTTATGCTTCATTCGAAAGTAGGAGTCTTGTATCTTTCATATGCCCAGGCTGGCTTCTAACCAACATTCTTAGATCTCAGTCTCCTGAATAACTAGGATCATAGTTATGAACCATCAGCATACTGCATGGATTTCTTCATTTACTTTTTGTTGTTGTTATAAAGGTGAGGTACGGAAGGGTTACATAGGTACATTTTTTATTTATTTTGTTTTTGGCCCATCCTGGGGCTTGAGCTCTGGGCCTGGGCGCTATCCCTGAGCTTCTTTTTGCTCAGGATGAGTGTTCTACCACTAGAGCCACAGTGCCACTTCCAGCTTTTTTGAATAGTTTAGTGGAGATAAGAGTCTCATGGAGCTGGGTGCCAGTGGCTCATGCCTTTGATCCTAGCTACTCAGGAGGCTGAAATCTGAGGATCACAGTTCAAAGCCAGCCCAGGCAGGAAAGTCCACATGAGACTCTTATCTCCAATAAATCACTAGAAAACCAGAAGTGGCGCTGTGGCTCAAGCGGTAGAGCACTTGCCTTGAACTGAAGAGTGCAGGGACAGCACCCAGGCCCAGAGTTCAGGCCCCACGACCTACCCTCCCCCCCAAAAAAAAAAGTCTCATGGAGTTTCCCGCTGGGGCTGGCTTCCAACCAGGATCCTCAGCTCTCCATTTCCTAAGTAGCTAGTATGACAGGCGTTAGCCACCAGCACCTGGCATAAATACATTTCTTTTTTGACATTGTCATCCTTTTGTTCTCTCTTTTTTTTTTTTTTTTTGGTCAGTCGTGGGGCCTGAACTCTGGGCCTAGGCACTGTCCCTCAGCTCTTCAGCTCAAGAGTAGAGCTCTACCACTTGAGCCATAGCACCACTTACGGCTTTTTCTGCTTATGTGGTACTGAGGAATCGAACCCAGGGCCTCATGCATGTAAGGCAAGCAGACTACCAATGAGCCACCTTTGCAGCCCTCCTGGATTTCTTTTAAGACCATTGTTTTCTCTGGAAGAAACCAAGAAAAACCTCTAGTAGCAAATACCACTTATGTATATATTAAGCAACTGTAAGAGACTGCCTAGCAGAAATACTTAGGATAAAATTTTCTGACATAGGGCTGGGAAGGTGGCTCAGTGGTAGAGCGCTTGCCTTGCATGCTTGAGGCCCTAGGTTCGATTCCTCAGCACCACATAAGCAAAAAGGAAAAAGCCGAAAGTGGTGCTGTGGCTCAAGTGGTAGAGCACTAGCCTTGAGCTGAAGAGCTGAGGGACAGTGCCCAGGCCCAGAGTTCAGGCCCCACAATCGGACCCAAAAAAAAAAAATTCTGATAAATGATCTGTTTATGTCTGTTGTTCACTAGGGGAAATATATTTGCTATAGGCGGTTCACATAATTTGGAGAAAGAATATGAAAAATCCCATCTAGGGTCTATTCTGTTTGAATTCTAAAGATCCCACCTGGTTATTCCATTAACTGTGCTCTCTGAAGCCAAACTGTAATGTCTGGTTTTGTGGGCCATTATTTACTTCCTGTAAGTCCTATGGAATAATGACTAGGTATGCATCTTTGGGCCAAACTTAAAGAAATTAACTTTCTCATAGTTTCTAACATTTGACATTTAGTGTTTAAGTTGAATGCTGCTTTGTACCATTCATTGGTAAAGAAACTAAATGTTTGCCAATCAAAGGTTTGGGGGGGGTGTGTTGTTTTGTTTTTGTTGATTTGGGGACTTGAATTTTTTTTTTTTTTTTGTGGGTCATGGGGCTTGGACTCTGGGCTTGGGCCTTGTCCTTGTGCTCTTCAGCTTAAGGTGAGCACTCTACCACTTGAACCACAGCACCACTTCCGGTTTTCTAGTGGTTTTATTGGAGATAAGAGTCTCAGGTGGACTTTCCTGCCTGGGCTGGCTTTGAACTGTGATCCTTAGATCTCAGCCTCCTGGTATTACAGATGTGAGCCACCGGCACCTGGCAGGGCTTGGATTCTTATTCTTGGGGCCTTGGTGCTGTCCCTGAGCTCTTTTATTCAAGGCTAGCAGCTCTACCACTTGGATCCACAGTGCTATTTCCAATTTCTTGGTGATTAGTTGGTGATGAGACTCTCACAGACTTTTCTGCCTGGGCTAACTTTGAATCACAGTCCTCAGATCTCAGCCTTCTGAGTAGCTAGGATTACAGGCGTGAGCCACCAGCTCCCCAGTGCCCTCTACCACTTTGAACCACAGCACCACTTCTAGTTTTCTGGTGGCTAATTGTAGATAAGAGTCTCACAGACTTTCCTGCCCGGGCTGGCTTTGACCTGTGATCCTCATCCTCAGATCTCAGCCTCTTGAGTAGCTAGGATTACAGGATTAGGATTAAAGCTAGGATTATGAGCCACCAGTGCCCAGCTCAAATGTCATTTTAATGTATAGATCCAAATACTGTAAAGAGGATTGTTTTAGGTTATAGGTTGTATTTTTTTTGGGGGGGGGTCCGGTCGTGGGGCCTGAACTCTGGGCCTGAGCGCTGTCCCTCAGCTCTTCAGCTCAAGGCTAGTGCTCTACCACTTGAGCCACAGCGCCACTTCCAGCTTTTTTCTTTTTGCTTATGTGGTGCTGAGGAATCGAACCCAGGGCCTCGAGCATGCAAGGCAAGCGCTCTACCACTGAGCCACCTTCCCAGCCCTAGGTTGTATTTTATAATGGTCCTATATAACAGTTTGAGGCTAAAGGCAGTGTTTAACATGCGAGCTTTGAGACTTCAGATAGAAACAAAATATAAGTTAAATGATTACGTAACGAAGTAAATCTTATCCTTGTGACCAGAATAAAGATGATTTTCAAAATAAAGGAAGGAAAGAAGCAAGGAAAGAAGGGAGGCAGGGACAAAGCAAAGGTTTACAAATGAGCAGCATAAGAGCTCTTGGCGGGGGGCGGGGGCAGCAGCAGCATGAGAGGAATGTGGCTCTTCTCTAGCAGGTCTAGATACTTTGCACATAGATCTGGAAACCCCAGATGTGTTTGGGTGCTTAGTCAACAGAGAGAAGTTCTTTGAATATACCAAGTTTCAATCTTACATCTTGGAGTTTGAGCACTGTCCCTGAGCCTTTTTGTTCAAGGCTAATAATAATGCTTTACCACTTAAGCCACCACGGAAGAGAGTCTCACAGACTTTCTTGGACTGGTTTTAAACCTTGATCTTCAGATCTCAGCCTCCTGAGTAGCTAGGATTACTGGTGTGAGCCACTGGCGCCCGGCTGACCTGATACATTTGAATGAGTTACGTGGGGCGGTGGCTTACAGTCTGGATCCCTGGACCTGGCTCTGTGTAGCGGTGACACGCCTCTAGCTAGCAGTAATGTGAATGTGTCTGTGGTATCTGTCCACCCCTCTCCCTCCAGCTTCGTCAGATGATGGCTAAGTTCCTTCAGGAGAACCTAGCTCCCAAGGCCCAGGAGATTGATCAGACCAATGATTTCAAGAACATGCGCGTAAGTCATCAGGCCGGGGGCGGGGCGCTGGGAGTGGGTGGAGGCTCCCTGCTGTCGGGAGTGGCTGGCAGGGTCCTGTCTTCCTGGTCCAGCCACCTGTGACTGGCTGCCTTCCCCCAATTCCCTGCGTTCCTTTCTGTCCACAGGAGTTCTGGCGGCAGCTGGGGAACCTGGGCGTGCTGGGCATCACAGCACCAGGTGAGCATGGCTTCTCCCCGAAAGAGGACGAGCTTCGTGTGCCCTCTAACTACTTCCCAAGAGAGGCATGAAGGGGATGGAAAGACCATACACCAACACCCCCCCCCCCAGAACTTCTGCCTTCTTGGACCTGAGAGGGCGTTCACTGGGCTGAGAGGGGAGGACATTCTTCTGTACGTTCAACCAAGGGAGCATGCAGTAGACTCATTGAGTCAGGATCCCCGATGCCTCAACTTGGTACCTATTTTTCTTTGCTTTCTTTTCTGCTTTTATTACTTTTTTTTTTTCCTTTTTCCTTTTCTGTCAGCTAGAGTGCTTGAACTCAAGGCCTGAGCACTGTCCCTGAGCCTCTTTGTGGTCAAGGCACAAGTGTTCTTTTTTTTTTTGGGTCCGGTCATGGGACCTGAACTCTGGGCCTGGGCGCTGTCCCTCAGCTCTCCAGCTCAGGGCTAGCGCTCTACCACTTGAGCTACAGCACCACTTCTGGCTTTTTTCATTTTGCTTATGTGGTGCTGAGGAATCAAACCCAGGGCCTCATGCATGCAAGGCAAGCACTCTACCACTGAGCCGCCTTCCCAGCCCCACAAGTGTTCTTGAGCCACAACACCACCTCCCGCATTTTTGGTGGTTAATTGGAGATCAGAGTCTCACAGGGACTCTCCTGCCCAGGCTGGCTTCAAACCGTGATCCTCAGATCTCAGCCTCCTAGGTAGCTAGGATTACAGGTGTGAGCCATTAGCGCCCAGCTTTTTCTTTTTTTGTTGTGTGGACTGAGCCTAAGACCTTTATTAATTAGTATGTACTCTAGAAAGTCTGTGTGCTTAGCCTCTGGCGGACTGTTTGGGGAATTTAGAAGCAAGTAGTTGCCCTGAATCTTACTGCCTTAATTCCTGAACTCTGCCCAGCTGGTGTCTTCTAAGCAGGAATGGCCCAGGAAGATGTGTATTGGGGGGGGGGCTGCCTATTCTCTGCCTACAGCTTGGCTATGGGGCTTTGTTGGGGGCAGTGGTAAGAGAAATGTTTGTCTAGGCCTTTAAGTAAGGTGACTAGATTACATGATTAATAGGCTCTTGGGTTGGGCAACAGTGGCCCCCCGCCTATAATCCTAGCTACTCAGGAGGCTGAGGGTCATAGTTTAAGGCCAGCCAGTCTAGGAAAGCCCATGTGACTCTTATTTCTGTGTGATTCTTTATTTTTAGCAACAACCAAAAAAAAAAACAAACTTTACTCTGTATCCCAGGCTGGCCATTTTTTTTTTTTAATCGGTCGTGGGGCTTGAACTCTGGGTCTGGGCACTGTCCCTCAGCTCTTCAGCTCAAGGCGAGTGCTCTACCACTTGAGCTACAGTGCCACTTCCTGTTTTCTGGTGGTTTATTGGAGATAGGAGTCTCACGGTCTCTCCTGCCCAGGCTGGCTTTGAATGATCCTCAGACCTCAGCCTCCTGAGTAGCTAGGATTACAGGCGTGAGCTACCAGCGCCCGGCTGGCCTTTTTTTTTTTTTTAACTGTGTAGCCCATCTGACCTCAAACTTGCAATCTCCAACTCTGCCTCCCACATACTGGAATTACAGGCATGTGCCACCTCTCAGACCTCAGTACCTGTTTAGCTGCCTCTGTGCTTTCCTTCCTTTCCTAAGAGACTTAGATCAGCCTGATTTCTTAGATTCAGCATGAGTGAACATGTCCCTCGGGCCTTGCCAGGCTTTACCCAGATGAGTAGACCTGAGAACCCAGCCACTTTGATTTTGGATCTGTTATCCAGGAAAGCTCATTTTTAATAGGGAGTTCTGAAACTCTCCATCTCTTCTGCCCTCTGCTGTACAACCACCCACTTTTCTGATTTCCCCTCAAGAGGAGACTTTCCTGCCCAGGAACAGGAGTCATTTTGGCTCCCAAGAGATCCTGTGAGATCTCACCTTCCTGAGGCCTTTGTACACATATTCTTGGCCTCATATCTGTATTTGATGCTTTGGCTACAGTACCCTCATCCCTAACCTTAGCGTTTGTTGTACTTTCTCCATTCATCTTTTTATCTCTTTCTATTAGTACTGTTAGGAGCGTGGGGATTGAGGTGCTTGTTTGCCTTTATCTAATATGTTACAACGTTTCGTCATGAATACTTTTGAAAGATAGGTATGAATAGTGTGTACCCATGTAATGCTTTCACTTCATTTGTGGTTTTAAATTAAGAATTTAGATGTTCCTCTCATATGCAGACTGGTATAAATATTGGACACTATCAGTGTTAATATGTGCTTTCCACTTTCACACATATTGAACTGGGACATGTAAACTTTGATTTGTCCAATTTTATGCTGTGTGGAATACTAACCACTTTATGTATTTTAACTTAGTTTTAATATTTTAATTTTTGGGGAGAAATCTTTTCACTTCTCATATAGCTGTTATATATGCTAAATGTTTTATGTTTTTTGTTTTGTCTGTCATAAGGCTTGAACTCTGGGCCTGGGCGCTGTCCCTCAGCTCTTCAGCTCAAGGCAAGTGCTCTACCACTTAAGCCACAGCACCACTTCCAGCTTTTTCTGCTTATGTGGTGCTTAGGAATTGAACCCAGGGCCTCATGCATGCAAGGCAAGCAGTCTACCACTGAGCCAACTTCCCAGCCCATATATGCTAAATGTTTATATGCAGAAATATTAGTACTTGAACAAATTCAAAACACATGGTTTGCCGGGCACCAGTGGCTCATGCCTGTAATCCTAGCTACTCAGGAGGTTGAGATCTGAGGATCACAGTTCAAAGCCAGCCCTGGCAGGAAAGTCCATGAGACTCTTATCTCCAATAAACCACCAGAAAACTTGAAGTGGCACTGTGGCTCAAGTGGTAGAGCGCTAGCCTTGAGCTGAAGAGCTGAGGGACAGCGCCCAGGCCCAGAGTTCAAGATCCAGGACCTACCAAAACAAAAACAAAAATGCACATTGTTTATTAACCCTTGCGCCTGCATGGTTCATTAAGTTTAAATTATATCTGATTCACAATTACAGTTATATTTACCTTGAGCAAAAGAAGCTTAGGAACAGTGCCCCAGGCTCTTGAGTTCAAACCCCCAGGACTGGCAAAAAAGAAAAGAAAGAAAAAAAAAAAACGGTTCCTCGGGGCTGGGAAGGTGGCTCAGTGGTAGAGCGCTTGCCTTGCATGCATGAGGCCCTGGGTTCGATTCCTCAGCACCACATAAGCAGAAAATAAAAAGCCAGAAGTGGCGCTGTGGCTCAAGTGGTAGAGTGCTGCCGGGCGCTGGTGGCTCACGCCTGTAATCCTAGCTACTGAGGAGGCTGAGATCTGAGGATCGCGGTTCAAAGCCAGCCCGGGCAGGAGAGACCGTGAGCCTCCTATCTCCAATAAACCACCAGAAAACCGGAAGTGGCGCTGTAGCTCAAGTGGTAGAGTGCTCGCCTTGAGCTGAAGAGCTGAGGGACAGTGCCCAGGCTCAGAGTTCAAGCCCCACAGCTGACAAAAAAAAAAAAAAAAGTGGTAGAGTGCTAGCCTTGAGCTGAAGAGCTGAGGGACAGCTGAGGGCTCCATGACTGGATCCCCCCCCCCCAAAAAAAAAAAGGTTCCTCTGTGTATTGTAATTTAACCTGATTGCCTTTCTACTCTCAGTTCAGTACGGCGGCTCTGGCTTGGGCTACCTGGAACATGTGCTGGTGATGGAGGAGATATCTCGGGCTTCTGGAGCCGTGGGGCTCAGCTATGGCGCCCACTCCAACCTCTGCATCAACCAGATTGTGCGCAACGGCAATGAAGCCCAGAAGGAGAAATACCTCCCCAAGGTGAGGGGATGGGAATAGAGACTCCACCCTTGGCTGGGTACCAGCAACTCACACCTGTAACCTGTAACCTAGCCTCCGGAGGCTGAGATCTAAGGATTGCAGTTCAAAGCCAGCTCAGGCAGGAAAATTCTGAAGCTCTCCACTCCCACCCTCCCCCTCCCTGGTGGGACTTGAACTCTGGGCCTAAGTGCTGTCCCTCAGCCTTCAGCTCAAGGCTAGCACTCTACCACTTGAGCCACAGGGCCACTTCCAGTTTTTTGAGTGGTTTATTTGAGATAAGACTCCTATGGACTTTCCTGCCTGAGCTGGCTTTGAACCCAGGATCCTCAGATCTCAGCCTCCTGAGTAGCTAGGATTACAGGTGTGAGCCACCAGCTCACAGGCTCTGAGAGAGATTGTCTCCAATAAGCCACAAAAAGCCAGAAATAGCCGGTGGCTCAAGCCTGTAATCCTAGCTACTCAGGAGGCTGAGATTTGAGGATTGTGGTTCAAAGCCAGCCTAGGCAGGAAAGTCTGTGAGAGTCTTATCTTCAATTAACCACCAGAAAACCGGAAGTGGCGCTGTGGCTCAAGTGGTAGAGCCCTCTTGAGCTGAAGAGCTTAGGAACAGCGTCCAGGCCCAGAGTTCAAGCCCCACAACCAACAACAACAACAAAGCCTGAAATAGAGCTGTGGCTCAAGTGGTAGGGTGCTAGGCTTGAGCAAAAGAGCTCAGGGACAAAGCGCAGGCCCCAGGATAAAGCCCCAGTACCAGCACAAAAGAAAAAAAGAAAAGAATCCACCCTTGTGTAAGCACAACCATCAGCTCCAAGATCCCTCTTCCACTGGAGGAAGGCATTCTGACTTGTGTTCTGTGGCTTGACCAAATCCCATTAGGAAGGACTCAGATTATCTGGACACCAATGATTCACACCCATATCCTAGTTACTCAGGAGACTGAAAGCTGAGAACCATGGTTCCAAGCCAGCCAAGGCAGAAAATTCCCTGTGAGACTCATATCTCCAATTAATCACTCCCAAACTGAAAGTGGTAGAGAGCTAGCCTTGAGCAAAAGAGCTCAGGGACAGCGCCCAGGCCCTCAGGTTAAGCCCATGAGTGACAGAAAAGAAAAAAAAAATGTTGAAAATAGGGCCAAAGTTCCCAAATAATTGAATTATAACCAGAAAATATTTGAAGAAGACTTTAAGGGAAAAAAAAGAACAAGGCTGGGGATGTGGCTTAATGGTAGAGTATTTGCCTTGCATACCTGAAGCCCTGGGTTCTGTGTATACACCACATACACAGAAAAAGCTGCAAGTGGTGCTCAAGTGGTACAGTGCTAGCCTTGAGCAAAAAAAGCTAAGGGACAGTGCCCAAACCTTGAGTTGAAGCCCCAGGACTGACAAAAAAAAAAAGGTGTTGGAGTCAAGGCTAAAGTGGTAAGGGCCCACTGAATTCAAACCCTTGTGCCAAGAAAAATAAAGATGGACATAGCTCAGTGACAGAGTGCTTGACTGGCATGTGAAGCCCTGGGTTCCATCCTTAGCACTGAAGAGAGAATGAAAGAAAAGAAAGAGGGCTGGGAAGGTGGCTCAGTGGTAGAGTGCTTGCCTTGCATGCCTGAGGCCCTGGGTTCGATTCCTCAGCACCACATAAACAGAAAAGGCCAGAAGTGGGGCTATGGCTCAGGGACAGTGCCCAGGCCCAGAGTTCAAGCCCCACTGTTGATGAAAGAAGAAAGAAAGAGAGAGAGACAGAGAGAGAGAGGAAGAAAGAAAAAAGAGGAAGAAAGAAAGAAAGATAGATGGATAGATTGTGGTTACTGAGCTTGCAATCCTAGCTATTTGAGAGGCAGAGATTGCAGGAAATCATGGTTCAAGGCCATGCCAGGCAAAAAGTTCAAGGAACTAAGCAGTGACTGGGTGTAGTGGTATGCACCTATTCCTTCGACTATGGGGGGAACACAGAGGCACACGACTGTTGACCCCAGTGACACGGAGAAACTCAAGTGGGAGCATTTCAATCCAGGCTGGCCCAGCAAGACCCTACTGGAAAAGAGCCGGTGACAGAGGGCCTAGAGGTATGCTTACAAGGCCCTGAGTTCAATCCACAGTACCACCGAAAAAGAAGAAATGGAAAGAAGATAGATATTGGGCTTCTCTGCCTGGACTTTACTGATACCTTGGTCTGAGACAGCAGCTTGAAGGTCGGTGTCGTGACTGGTTCTGGAAGAGGCAGTATCTGCGAACTGCCGTCAGGTGCTCCCAAGGTGGTGACTTCCAGGGTGGTGACACGGCCTGTTGGGTTTTCTTTCCAGCTGATCAGTGGAGAATACATCGGAGCCCTGGCCATGAGTGAGCCCAATGCCGGCTCTGACGTTGTCTCCATGAAGTTGAAGGCGGAAAAGAAAGGTGAAGCCACTCAGCGAGGAGGGCTAACGCGGGCAGTGGGAGGAAGCTGATCAGAACGAGGAGGCGGCAGCTGAGGCTGTGCCTTCCCCACGGTCTCCAGAACTTTCTCAGCTGAGCAGATTCTGAAGTTCTGTGAGCTGGCTGAGCCAGCTTGAGCAAGTGGTTCATATCCTGCCTTTAGGAGATCATTATATCCTGAATGGGAACAAGTTCTGGATCACTAATGGCCCTGATGCCGATGTCCTCATTGTCTACGCCAAGACGGATCCCGCTGCTGTGCCAGCCTCCCGGGGCATAACAGCCTTTATCGTGGAGAAGGTAAGGGGCCTGGGGCTGCGCTCCGAGAGGTTTCTTTCTGTCTTCAGACACAAGCTGATCACAAGTAAGATCAGTGTTGTGTTCTCTGTTTCTGGGAGTAGAGGTGAGAATGAGGATGTAGAGCCAAAACCACTGACGGCTGAAGAGGGGGTGGGCCAGGCAAGGCCCTGGGTTCGAGTCTCCAGCACTGGGTAAAAAAACATTGAGTCCAGAGAGAGTGAGGCCGTATAAAGAAGTGTAGGGCGGAGGCATGACTCACATAATAGGTGTCTGCCGCCCAACAGATCTCAGGTCCTGCGTTTAAACTCCACTACTGTCGGGCGCCGGTGGCTCACGCCTGTCATCCTAGCTACTCAGGAGGCTGAGATCTGAGGATCACAGTTCAAAGCCAGCCCGGGCAAAAAACTCTGTGAGACTCTTTTCCAATAAACACTCAGAAAACCAGAAGTGGCGCTGTGGCTCAAGTGGTAGAGCGCTCGCCTTGAGCTAAAGAGCTGAGGGACAGCGCCCAGGCCCAGAGTTCAAGCCCCAGAACCGACAAAAAGAAAAAGAATTAACACTGGAAAGTTTTAATAAAACTGAGAGCCTTGCCGGGCGCTGGTGGCTCATGCCTGTAATCCTAGCTACTCAGGAGGCTGAGATCTGAGGATCGCGGTTCAAAGCCAGCCTGGGCAGGAGAGACCGTGAGACTCCTATCTCCAATAAACCACCAGAAAACCGGAAGTGGCACTGTAGCTCAAGTGGTAGAGCGCTC